GGGAGGAGGTGCCACACTCTTTTGAATAACCAGACCTCATGTGAACTCAGAGCAAGAACTCATTTATCATTTATCATCAAGGGGATGGAGCTAAGCCATTCATGAGAGATCTGCCCCCATGATCCAAACACCTCCCACCAGGCCCTACCTCCAACACTGGTGATTACCTTTCAACATGAAATTTGGAAGGGACAAACATCCAAACCATATAAAATGGCAATCATGTGAGGTGATTGATGTGCTGATTAGCTTGATTGTGGTAATCATTTCACAATGTGCATATATGTATATCAAATCATCACATTGTACATCTTAAATATACACAATTTTTTATTTTTCAGTTATATCTTAATAAAGGTGGAAAAGATTTGTTGCATTTCTTTCCCCTATTTTTGGCAGCGTGCATACCATGTAGAATCACCATGTAAACTTTTTCCATTTGTTGACTTAAAAGGCACAGGACCAAGAGTGTGAATGGGGACTGCAGTTAGCCCATACTCTGCTCCCTAACTTGTATATCCTAGTTTGGTCCTGCCCCATCCAAAAGGAAAGAGCAATATTTCACCATTTTGTAGTTCAGCTACTTAGAGGCCACATCTTAGTATGATTTTTCTTCTTGAAGAGGGTATCTTTTAGTGCTTTGTATAAAGATCTGATATGTATCAGTGGATATCCTGTAAATAATGGATACTATTTTCCCATCCTGGAATTCGGGCCATCTCACAGCCTTTAGTCTAGCTGAAACTAATAACCAGTTATAAAATACCCCCCATTAATTCCCCCAAAGGTCTGTTGACCGTAACTGGCTCTGTGGTATAATTTTTATATCAGAATTCTTTAGCTGCAGGCCATAGCAATTGATTTTGCGTAACTTAAGCAAAAGAGAATATTTAGAAGGATATTGGAATTACTCAAATCTAAATTGACATGCTGAAAAACAAGGCCTCAGGAAGGTCAGGAACCATTGAGCTTGAGACGTTTAGGTAGCAGAACCTCAGTTTCTATAGGCTAAGTCAAGTTTAAAAATTCAAGGATGTGGAATCTGATTATTCCACTAAGAGAGATGAGATCTTTCGTTAGAACAAAGGTCAGTGAAAGAATGCTGGACAAACCAAGCAATAGTTACCAAAGGAGACAAAAAGCAAGGCGTCAACATTTAAGTGGAGATGTTGAGTAAACCTTTAAATGTAGAAATCTGGATTTCAGACGAGAAGGCTAGACTGGGATAAACAATTAGGGATCATAAAGATAACTGAAATAATTGACAAGGCTTAGATTGCCCAGAAAGAGAATGAGAGGCCATGCAGCCTCCCAGCTCTGTTGCGTTGCCCAAGGGCAGGAGCACTTATTACACAGTAATTGTAGCTGGAGGATTGTTCCTGTTTTGGGCAGGGCAAAAAAAAGAAAATATTCCTAGAGATTGGGAAGAGTGTAGGGTATGGGACTATAACACTGTGCTGAGAACATTCTGTTTCATAAGAATGAACTAGTTATGTGGAGATTTTAAAGGAATGTAGTATCTTTCTGTCAAAGTTACAATAAATGCCATCTTATATTTTCTGTAACATTTATCATTTATATTGCACCTGGGCCTGTGTTTAGTGTTTTATGAGTGTCATCTTATTTAATTCTCACAACAAATTAATGAGGTAGGTATTATTAACCATATTTTACAGTTTGGTTACTGAAATCTCAGAGAATTTAAGTAATTTACTCAAGGTCATCTTGCTAGAAAGGGTGGAAATTGGTCTTAAGTAAGGTCTATCAGAATTTTAAAAAATTCTACTCCATATAAAATGATGCAGCAATGTAAACACTGGCTATGGTTTAGGATTCTTGAGCCCCTACCGTGTACCATGTAATGTGCTGAATACTTTACAATCTCATTTAATCTTAATAATAACCTTACATGGAAAGTACTATCATTATCCCTACTTAACTGATGAAACTAAGATTTGGAAGTGTTAATTTCATGGTTGTCACACAGTAAGTGGTAGAGTCAGTACTTGAATACATTTGTTGATTCTAAGGCCTATGTGTTTCACAAACACATACTTTTCTCTAACAAAAATAACCACATCTTAGAACAGTGGCCCTCCTCTCTGGCTTTGTACTGGAATCAGCTGGGAAGCTTTAAAAAAATGATGCTGAGCCTCATCATTAAATATTCTGATTTAATTTAACAGTAATGTGGGCAAGTCATTGAGTTTTTTTAAAAGCTTCTATTCACTCATTCAGTTTATTCAGTAAATATCTATTGAATGTCTGTTCTGTGCCATACACTTTCTAGGCATTTACATTCTAGCAGGATGTATCAGTTAACTGTTGCCACAGTCATGTGTAACAACAACCACAAAATTTCCATGGCATGAAAAATTAACCACTTACTAAGCATTTATCTTCATAGATCTGGAGGCCAGCTGGGACTCAGCTGATTAAAGAGGGCTCTGTTGGGTAACTTTATTCAGGCTGAGGTCACTGTAGTTTTCTTGCTGCAGTACTGTGGGTAAGCTATGGTGGCTCTGCTTCATGTATTTCTGATCCTCCTTAGACCAGTGAACTAGCTGGATCTTGTTTCTCTGTGGCTTCTTTCATGAATCATAAAGGGTGACATGTCCAACTCTGGGTTCACTGCATTAACCAAAATCTCATGATTAAGCTCAAAGACAGGAGGTGAGAAAATAAGCTCCAGGTTTTTTTGTGTGGATTTGCAAAGTTCATGACAAAGGTTGAGAAAGGGGCCTAAATAGTAATTCAATTTAGGTGGGAAAGACTAACAAAGAACAATAAGCATAATACATAAGTAAATTATCAAGTATATTAGAAGGTGATAAGTAATATTTCAAGAGTCTGATATGTAGCTAGGAATGAGAACTACTGATCTTACAGTGTTAAACCTGTAAAGAAACCTGGTCTAACAGTCCTTGAACCATTTTAAAAATAGTAAAACAGACCATTCTCCAGGAAGGAGAATCTTACTTGAGGTCCATGGATAGATAGAAATGGAGATAGGACCCAGGTCTTCTGATTCTCTAGACTATTTCTCTTATATCACAGTATTCCAATCTGTAGTCTTAGAATTCTCCCTTTACTGATGGCACCAAAAATATGTTGTAGAAGAACATCGTCATTCTTACTTCTCTTAATCCCAGACTTTAGAGGTATGCTGCCTAATTCCAATGCTTCTCTTAATAACTCATTTCAGAGCCCAATTTGACATTCTCCATATTTGTAGCCTTCAAAACTTTATACACATTCTGTCCTCTTTCAGCTTTTTTTCTCTTCAAGTTGAAGACTGTTAGTTTTGGTCTGTCTTCACATGATTCCCCTGCGTCCTACCCCAGCAGTCTGCTTGGCTATTGGACCTTCTTTCTTCCCCCGCTCTCTAATACCTTGAATGAAGACTCTTTCTTGAGTTACTTTTTTACGCTAAGCATCCACTAGGCCTTATAGTCATCGTTGCTGTTTTGGATTACAGTCTTCTTGATTTGCCAGGATGAACAATCAGAAGAAAAGAAAACATATGGGACTTGCTTGTACCTGGAGTTTATTGTCTGGAGAGAATGGTGAGTAACTGAATGAAGTAAGAGAGGGTATATACTAGGTAAGCCTATTCATTCTCTTTCTCCTGTTTCTTTTACTCATGCTCTTTGAGATTCTTCTGAAACTTTAAAATTTTGTTAGATGTGAATTACATGGATACAGTATTTACCCATTAATCTCTTGAAACTGTCTCCACAATTTTTGTGTTGCCTAAAATAAGTATAAAGAAAGACAGAGAAGAGGCAACTGTGGTTTCTGTTGTTTTCCATAACCCCCAAAACATTTACAATTATAAAAGACTCCAAGTCTCTTTCTGTAACGTAACCATAGCTTTTCACAGGACACAGCACAAAAGAATTAAGAGTGAAGATTGCTGGAGTCCTTCCTCTTGTGGCTGATTCCTGAAATCTAAGGAACGTTTAGTTGTGGGGAATAGAAACCAGTTGTTCTAAACAGACCACTCACTTGCCTGCTTATTTCTGTGACAATCTAATGTCTGCCCAGCCAGACCCTGCTTCCTCCTATTCACCTGTTAGCACCCATCTAGTCACAACTTCTTCCCAACTCTGTCTCACTCTTGCTTTTAAAAGTGGGCAAGTAGTAAAAAATTATAGGAATGTGGAGTTGTGTGTGTGCTTGTATATTCTTATTTATATAACTATATGTAAAGTATCTGGATTGTGTGTATATGTATTTGAATATAGGTCATCATCTATATCTTATATATCTATCAAACTAATACTCAGCAATGCCCTATTGTTTCCCATTAACAAGTTAGGCTCAATGGAAGCTTCAACAGAAGCAAGAGGGTAATATTCAGTGGAAAGCAAAATAGCGGGTAACAGTCACTTCAAATAATGTATGTATCTTTAAGTTCACACCTAAAATTTTCTTTATTGATGATATAAATTAAAATATCCACATGTAAATGTATGCGTAAGGGAAATTCTTTTTTTTTTAAGCTATAGGATATCACTCTGTCAGTCAGGCTGGAGTACAGTGATGCAATCACAGCTCACTACAGCCTTGACTTCCCAGGCTCAAGTGATCCTCCTGCCTCAGCCTCCCAAGTAGCTGGGAACACAAGTGCACACCACTACACCTGGCTAATTTTTTTTATTTTTTGTAGAGACAGGGTCTCCCTATGTTGCCAAGGCTGGTCTCAAACTTCTGGGCTCAAGTGATCCTCCCACCTTAGACTCCCAAAGCACTGGGATTATAGGTGTGAGTCACTGTGCCCAGCCGAGAAATTCTTATGTTTCATTTTATGTTGTATATTAGCTATAAAACACCTTTGTGGGTAAGTTAGAAAAGATGTGAGATGATTTACTTTCTTTGTTGTATTTCTGTTTGGGGAACAGCATGAATGGCTGTTGCAGTGTGGCAAAATTTCTGTATATTTCAGGTTTTGGTATAAAGATGTATTTGTGCTACTCCTAACTCTCTTTCTCCCACAGTTGCCTCAAGTTCTCCGGCTTCATTTTCATGTAAAGAGCTTGCAGGTAGATTCCTTTTCTATTTTACTCTCTTTTTCTGTTTTGAGAATAGTGTCTTCCAAGAACCCAGCTACCCATCCCTGCCACATACCTCCCACCACTCCTCTCTAATTTTTCCCTCTAATTCACTGGGGCCACAGTCATTGCTCCTTTTGGCAACTATGAAGCCATAAACTGTCACGACAAATAGGGCGTCTATATCATATAGAATATATTCAAATAGCTGTTCAAATACTGGGAGAACCACTGGTGGTGGTAGTCAAGAACTAGATGTAGAAACTTTTATTCTAAGAAAAGACCAGTCATCTTCTGGAATTAACTGGATCAGGGCCAGCAAACTATAGCTAGTGAGTCAAACCCAACCAGTTGCCTATTTTTATTAATAAAGCTTTACTGGAATACAGCTGTTTGTTTACATATTATCTATGGCTACTTTCACAGTAAGATGGCAGAGTTTAGTAATTGCAACAGAGACCGAAAAGCCTAAACTATTTAAGAAATTTTGCAGAAAATGTTTGCCAACCCTTATCTAGATTAACATTCCCAGAACTGAGTTCTAGGAACACTTTTGCAATAATTAATAACTATGCTGTTAGAAAAGGGTTCTGTAGTCATTTAAAACCAGAAAACATTGTGTTAAACAAAGTTAAACACCCTTTTCCAACTGTAGGAGAGTTAAAGAATGTTTCATATGCTAGTACAAGAGCCTTTCATATGCTAATAAGCATTGAGAAACTCTAAGAGACTAGAGGGTGCACTCCCCTCAACTTATTTGACCACAGGACACCTTTTTTCACAGCTCTTCTATTAATATCTTACAGACAGTTTTCCAGGGAACACTGATTTGGGAAATGCTGTCATAGACAGTCACTTAACAGAAGTTTGTACTTGACGTCACTTACTAGCACTGGACAAATTACCTAAAGCTATGTAAAGCAGCACTGACTACATAATTTGTGGGATACAGTGCAAAATGAAAATGCAAAACCTCTTGGTCAAATATTAAGGTTTTTAAGACAGCAACAGCAGAGCATTAAACCAAGTATACATCCTTCTCAGCATGGAAATCTGTGTGACTGCACAGATTGCACACTCTCGAAGGTGGCCCTGGTTATAAGTTTCGATTTCCTCAACTATCAAATGTGGATAATACCTGCTTCATGCGATTATTGGGAGAATTAAATCAGAAATGTTCATAAAGGTTCTAACAGAATCTGTCACAGAATAGGCAATAATAAATAACTTGTTTGTAATACAAAAGCATTTGTAGCCATATTAAATAAGTATTTATAGAGTGTCTGCTATTTGCTAGGCACAGTGCTAGGTACTCAGGGTACTTATTGTAAAGGAGATAGACAGATAAGGTCCCTGTCTTTACGTAGATTATTGTATAGTAGAAAAGACAATGAAAAAGTAAATGAACATGGCAGTTATAAATTGTGGTAAGTGCTATAAAGGGAAAAATATGGTGCCGGGAAGGGAAATAGTAGTGAGGATCTCCTTTAAATTGGGTGGTCATGGCCAGGCGTGGTGGCTCACGCCTGTAATCCTAGCACTTTGGGAGGCCGAGGCAGGCAGATTGCCTGAGGTCAGGAGTTCAAGACCAGCCTGATCAGCATGGTGAAATCTCGTCTCTACTAAAAATGCAAAAATTAGCCAGGTGTGGTGGTGAGTGCCTGTAATCCCAGCTATTCGGGAAGCCAAGGCAGGAGAGTTGCTTGAATCGGGAGGTGAGGGTTGCAGTGAGCCAAGATGACACCATTGCACTCCCGCCTGGGCAACAGAGTGAGACCCCATCTAAAAAAAAAATTGGGTAGTCAAACAAATCCTCCTCTAGGAAGTATTATTTGAGATCAGAAGGATGAAAAGGAGCTTTTCATGGGAAGAGCAGGAGGAAAAATAGTCTAGGTGGAAAGATTAGCTAGTGCAAAGTCCCTGAAATAGGAGAGAACATGGCATTTTTGAGAACTGAAAAGTGGCCAATGTGGCTTTAATGTAGAGAGTGAAAAGGAGGATGATAAAAAATGAGGCTGTGGGGAGGGAAGGTAGAGAGGGCTCAGATCATGAGAGCACCTTGTAGGAAGAGGATTTAGGATTTTATACCAAGAATAATGAAAAGCTCTTGAAGGATTTTGGGCAGGGAAGTGAGATGATCTAATTGGTATCTGTAGAAGATTTTTTCGGCTGCTGCATAGGAAGGAATCAGTAGATGGGCAAGAATAGATTAGTAAGATGCTATTTCAGCAGTCTACGAAAGAGTTGACAGTGCCCTGGACTTGGGTGGTATTTATACAGTGGTAAATAAATGAATTTGAGGCTTATTTTGAAAGTATAAATGCTAGGCCTTGCTAATTGATTGGATGTAGAGGATCGAAGGAAAAAATACTTATAACATTTTTCTGAGCAACTGGCTAACACCATTTAACTGAGATGAGATGCCTAGGGAGGGTTTTTTTGGGGGGGACAGAGGAGTATAGAAATCAAGAACTCAGATTTAGGCATGTAAAGTTGAGGCTCCTTTGAGACATCTAACTGGAGATGGTGGGTGGAGGTACTAGTTAGAATTGTTGTCTAGGATTCTGTAATTACTAACTCTTGCTGTCACCACATTAGATTACCGGGACATATTCAGAAAACATCTAAAAGAAAAATACCTAAAGATAGGAGCTGATAAATGTTACCACCATGGCAAGCACATAGAGTCACGTCTGCTTCTTGTAAAAGACCATGGTATATCAGAAGAGACACCATGTGGAATTCCTCAACAAGATCATTTTATTGACATGGAACATATATTTGATTCTAATGAAGAGGGCTCCAGCTCATCTCGAACTGTGGTGCTTCAGGGATGTGCTGGGACTGGGAAAACAGCTGTGGTGCACAAGTTCATGTTTGATTGGGCAGCAGGAGTGGTGACTCCAGGCAGGTTTGACTATCTCATCTACGTCAACTGCAGAGAAATCAGCCCTATTGCCAACCTTAGTGCTGCTGACCTTATCACAAACACTTTTCAAGATATAAACAGACCAATCTTGGACATTTTTCTCATATATCCAGAGAAGATTCTGTTCATTCTCGATGGATTTCCTGAGCTGCAGGACCCTGTTGGTGACCAAGAAGAGGATCTTAGTGTTCACCCGCAGGAGAGGAAGCCAGTAGAGATTCTCTTGTACAGTTTTGTGAGGAAAAAACTATTCCCCGAATCCTCTCTCCTGATAACTGCCCGGCCTACAGCCATGAAGAAGCTCCACTCTCTGTTAAAACAACCTATCCAGATAGAGATCTTATGGTTTACAGATACTGAAAAGAGAGCATATTTACTGAGCCAGTTTTCAGGTGCTAATACAGCAATGAAAGTCTTTTATGGTCTTCGAGAGAATGAAGACCTTGACATTATGTCTTCTCTTCCCATTGTCTCCTGGATGATATGCAATGTCCTGCAGCCAAAGGGAGATGGTGATGGGACTCTCTTGAGGTCACTTCAGACCATGACTGATGTGTATTTATTCTACTTTTCCAAGTGCCTCAAAACCCTTACAGGCATCTCAGTATGGGAGGGACAAAGCTGCCTGTGGAGTCTTTGCTCTTTGGCTGCGGAGGGTCTGCAAAACCATCAGGTTTTGTTTGCAGTCAGTGACCTCAGAAGACATGGGATAGGAGTGTGTGATACCAACTGCACTTTTCTCAGTCGCTTTTTGAAAAAGGCTGCAGGAGCTGTCAATGTCTACACTTTTCTTCACTTCAGTTTCCAAGAGTTCTTGACTGCTGTTTTCTATGCCCTGAAGAATGACAATAGCTGGATGTGTTCATATCAAGTGGGGAAAATGTGGCAAGAAATATTCCAACAATATGGAAAAGGCTTTTCATCACTAATGATACAATTCTTATTTGGCCTCTTACATAAAGGAAAAGGAAAGACGGTGGAAACTACTTTTGGAAGAAGAGTTTCCCCAGGTCTTCGAGAGGAGTTACTGAAGTGGACTGAGGAAGAAATAAAGGATAAATATTCTAGGTTGCAAATTGAGCCGATGGACTTGTTTCACTGTTTGTATGAGATTCAGGAAGAAGAATATGCAAAAAGGATAATTGACGATTTGCAGTCAATTATACTACTTCAACCTACCTATACAAAAATGGACATTCTGGCTATGGCCTTCTGTGTAAAAAGCAGTCACAATCACCTGTCAGTGTCTCTGAAGTGTCAGCACCTACTTGGATTTGAAGAGGAAGAGCGAGCCTCAGCATTCATGCCACCAGCCTTGACAATTAATAAGTAAGTATATCCATATCTTTCCTCCGGTTTTTGGGCTTCCCAGACAATGGACCTACTTGTTTATTTCATGTATTCAGGCACATGATCATTTCTAGCATTATTAATGAATAAAAGTAATGATCTCAGTTATCTGTATTTTATATCAATCAGTATAATAAGGATTTATTGAATATTATGTGCCAGGCACTGTACTAGTCACTGTGTGTGTGTGTGTGTGTGTGTGTGTGTGTGTGTGTGTTAGTGTTCGTTGCCACTGTGTGGATGTGCTTTATAACTCTAAAGTGTTAAGAACATGTAAGGTCATTAAGTTGATCATTGAGAACTGCTATTTTGGTGCAATGACCATTCTGGAAAAAGGCATAAATCTAACATTAAATTGGTTGTCACTCTTCTCTACATATATTTCATCACTGAGGCCTCAAGGAACTTCAGGTTAGTAAGGGGCAGAGGTACACTCCTATATTATCTCGCTATAAATCCTAGTTATTTCCACCAGAGCTTACAACTTTACAGAAGGTCATGAGCTGAAGTTGAAAGAGGCTTAGATAAATTACTTTTGTAATATGGACTCGGTATACTATAAAATACAGTCCTACCGGCACTGACTAAAGAAGCAAAGAAGACTTACACTTGTGCTATCTAGAAAATGCTGTAAGTCTGTTCTCAATATTTGGGTTAAGATGGATAATGCCTCTCCCTTAGTTTTCAGCCCAGCCGAGGAGCAGGGAACTGGAAGGAGAAGGGTCAGCAGAAAGCTTCACTTGAGGAATGAGATAACTCAAGTTGTGTCACTTATAGTTGTATTTCTTGAGTGGGCAATAGCTTAAAGGTGGAAATGAGCATGGGTTATGTGTGTTTGAGGGCAATGAGAGGGAGAGAGGCATTAACAAGGATTTGTGTTTGGAACTAAAGGGGGAAGGGATGAGAAGTTAAATGGACTCAGAATTATGAAAGACCTTGGCTACAAGGTCTTGACCAATTAACAGCTTTAATCCGGCTGTATATTATAAAGTAAAAAAGGAAAAGGACTGATACATTTGAGAAAGTTGAAACAGTGATGGAAGCAAAGGGTCTCCTGGTTCATTTTGGGTTTCCAGAAAGTCAACCTTAGATGGAGTCCTCCCCCATAACCCTTATTGCCTTTATTAGAGGGCTTAAACTCTTACCAAAAATTTAGCCCAACATCCTCCTCCCCCAAGCACATTGGCTATATAAGAGTTTACTATTGAGCTTTCCTGGTTTTTAATTATTGTCATTAATTCTTCTATTAGTACTGACAACCAAGAACCAGTTATATTGTAAAGTTAGCTTGGGCAGGTCACTTGATGTCTCAAATAATGGACAAAATGATGGTTATAATTCTCGTTATTGATGAGTTAGGGTCCTTTGTAGGGACATGGATGAACCTGGAAACCATCATTCTCAGCAAACTGACAGGAGAGCAGAAGATCAAACACCGCATGTTCTCACTCATAGGCGGGTGTTGAACAATGAGAACACATGGACACAGGGAGGGGAGCACTACACACTGGGGTCAGTTGGGGGGAAATAGGGGAGGGAGGGTGGGGGGTGGGAAGCTGGGGAGAGATAGCAAGGGGAGAAATGCCAGATGTAGGTGATGGGGAGGAAGGCAGCAAATCACACTGCCATGTGTGTTCCTATGCAACAATTTTGCATGTTCTTCACATGTACCCCAAAACCTAAAATGCAATAAAATAAATAAAGGGAAAAAAAAATAATAATAATTCTCGTTATTGGGTTAAGGGCCAGATAAGATAATTTGTGAAAATGAAGTACTTGCCCCAGTGCCTGGCACATAGTAACATGGTTCTGGAGTCAGACCTGAGTAATGACCTCAGTTCTGTACCTACCTATGTGACCTTGAGCAGATTACTTTTTGTGCCTTAATATCTGTATCTGCAAAATGGGATAATAACTCTTAAGGTTTTGGAAGGGGTAAATTAGTACTACCAGCAAGATAACAAAAGCCAAATAAGCCTTTTACTTAAAGTTTTGTTTTAAATTACTTTTTTTCCCTCATTTCCTTTAGGTCCTTTCAACTGTGCAGTTTGCCAGTGTCTCGGCTACACTTCCTCTGCCAAGCACTGTGTAATCCGTACTGTAAAATCAAAGACCTGAGGTAAGCTGAACTTTGTTTTAAACTCTTGGGTATTTGCAGTTAAAGATTAGGTTGCTAGAAATTGCACTCCCAGTTGACTAAAAATAAAATATAGCTAGTTTTCAGCTTCTCCACAGTGGAGCAACAAATGAAGAGATATGCTACAGGTTTAGAAGGGGCAGGAAGGAGTCAGGCATGATCTCTGCCCGCACTTCTTGCCTTTTCCCCTTTTGTATGTACATACCCTTTTTGTATGTTTTGCTGTAATGAGTAAGTGGAAGGTTGTAACACCTGAGAGATAGATTTGGGTCTGCTGCCCTGCTTGGGTCTGCCACCCCTACTTTCTTTTCCTCCCAGACTCCCACTGCTCTCCCCCTTAGTTTTCTTTCAGTTGGGTCCTATCCTACTCCATGCAGCTTGACGATCCTTTTCTCTCCCTCCATTCCCCACTTTCACCCCCTAGTTATTCCCCAATGCACCCAAAGGGCCCCACCCCTGCCCTGCCCTTCCATCCTCACTTCCAAGCACTTCGTCCACAACACAAACACACAAGCAGGTGCTCCCTTGTTTTCCCACCCCTTTGCCATATAGATCAATATCTGCTCTTCTTCTTTCCTCCTGTTTCAGAGGAAAAGGCAGCCCTTCCAAGCCACCCAAGCCAGTAAATTCACTTCACTATTTTTGTATTTTTGTGAACATTTAATTATTTTACTTTCATAACACAGAGGTATATACAGAAATAAAAGGCCTCCACCCAACTGCCCCATACCCCATCCCACTCTATATCCCCATAACCTGCTGTCTCCTATCCCCTGACCCTGAGCCCACCCTCCCTAGGTAATACCTTGTTTGCTAAGTGTATTTCTAAACCATTTTCTATGCTTACATAAACATAAAACTCTAACATAAGAGAAATATAAATCCATAAATGTATAATATTCATATACACACTCACAGAACTTTGGGTAGTTTTGTTTTACAAAAACAAAAGTGATCTTGTTTTTTTTTTCTTTTCATTTCACAATACAGGGGCCATGCCTCCAATACAGTATGCAGAATCTACCACATTCTTTCCCATGCTGTTTGCATTTTCAAGGTTTCTTCAACTATCTCCTCCATGGCTCAAATTTCTCCCATATTCAAAAGAACCAGTTGGGTACAGTAGCTCACACCTGTAATCTCAGCATTTTGGAAGGCCGAGGCGGGTGAATTGCCTGAGGTCAGGAGTTCGAGACCAGCCTGGCTAACATGATATCTACTAAAAGTACAAAAATTACCTGGGCTTGGTAGCTACTTGGGAGGCTGAGGCAGGAGAATCGCTTGAACCCGGGAGGTGGAGGTTGCAGTGAGCTGAGATTGCACCACTGCACTCCAGCCTGGGTGACAGAGCAAGACTCTGTTTCAAAAAAAGAAAAAAAAAGCCCTCCCTCAACTGAGTATCCCACTTCAACCCTTCCCTTCACAGCCAAGAGTCCTTGAGGAAGAGCCTCCCTCACTGATTCCACATAATCCTCACTCCTCACTTCTGCAGTTTGGCTTCTTCCCCTGCCACTCTCCTAGATCTGCTGGAAGATTCAGAGTAAATGCCAGACCCAGTGGATACTTTTCAGCTCCTGAGAGGGCCCCTCAGCCTCATTGACCTTTTTCTCCTAATTCTTCCCATTTTGACTGCTCCCAAGTACCTCATTTTCCAATCAGGAACAATTTTGCCCTCTAGTGGACATGTGGCAGTATCTCAAGACATTTTGGGTTGTCACAACTGGTGCTAAGGGATGGGTGCTTTTGGCAACTAGTAGGTACAGGCCAGGAATTCTGCTAAACATCTTACAGTGTACTGGACACCCCTCTGCAAAAAAGAATTACCCAGTTCCAAATGTCAAGAGTACTGAGATTGAAAAACCCTGTTCTAGAGGAATATAAACAAGCCCAAAGACATTTCTGAAAACTGCAGGCTAGGAATCTGGCCCTCAATCCTGATGACTGTCCATTCCCAACAGGAGACAACCTAAAAATCATGTTTAGCTGCTGCAGAGATGTCCCAGGGCCATGACAGATTCTCAGTCTCTATATACCCACAGGCCTTGGGCAATGTCCAGGGTTCCTCCAGTTGTGTCTCAGTCTGGTCCAGATGTAACTCCTTCTCATCCTTCCACCTGTGGGCAAAAACATAAACGTAGCCCCCATCAACAAAACTCACAGTCATCAGAGGGAGAGAAGACGACTAACCTGTCACCTACCCCTTTGCCCTACCCATTCCTATCCTCCTCGCATCTTCCCTCTGAAAGTTGATTTCCCATTGGGATACGTTTCTGTTCTGTTCTACACTGAGAGCTTTGTAGCCAGATTTCCCGCCCACATTTATCATGGTGGTGGTTTAGGGGAGAGAATCTCTCAAGATGGTACCATGCTTTGGCTTATAGTCTAGACCAGTAAACCCTCTGAGCACTATCAGTTGTTGACTCACCTCCTTGGCAGTGGCAGGAGTTCCCTTTTCAGATCTGACTGTCCCAAGTTCTACTCACTGGGGATTGGAAAGGATTCTCCTGCCATAGGGCCAAACAGTCAGAACAGTCTGTACCTACATGGTGCTGGTGTTTTCTTTTTTTTTAAAAAAAAAAGAAAGAAAAAAGAATAAAGGAGAGGAAGAAAGAGAAAGAGGAAGAGGGAGAGAGAACAGGGGTGTTGCTTTATTGCCCAGGCTAGAATGCAGTCTCAAAATGGGTATGCCTATAATTGTGCTTAATAATAGAGACATGAAAAAAAAATGAGGGAAGAAAATAACAAACAAGCAGCCAACCAATATTTCATTTAAATCTGTAAATAGATGTGATGTGGTACTGATAAGAGTGTATATTTTGTGTATTTAAAGTGGAGAGTTCTATAAATGTTAATTAAGTTTACTTGTTCCGGATCTGAGTTCAAATCCTGGATATCGTTGTTAATTTTCTGTCTCATTGATCTGTCTAATATTGATGTTGAAGTCTCCCACTATTATTGTGTGGGAGTCTAAGTCTCTTTATAAGTCTTATATATCTGGGTATTCCTGTACTGGGTGCGTATATATTTAGGATCTTTAGCTCTTCTTGTTGCATTGATCCTTTTATCATTATGTAATATCCTTCTTTGCTTCTTTTGATCTTTGTTGCTTTAAAGCAACTCCTGCTTTTTATTTATTTATTTATTTTTGCTCTCCATTTGGTTGGTAAATCTTTCTCCATCCCTTTGTTTTGAGTCTTTGTGTATCTTTGCATGTGAGATGGGTCTGGATGCAGCGTACTGATGGGTTTTGGCTTTTTTTTGCCTGTCTGTGTCTTTGGATTGGGGGATTTAGTCTATTTAAATTTAGAATTAATAATAATATATGTGAGTTTAATACTGCCATTTAATGTTAGCTGGCTGTTTTGCCTATTAGTTGATGTAAATTCTTGATTATGTTGATGCTCTTTACTTTTTGGTATTTTTTAGAAAGGCTGATACTGGTTGTTCCTTTCTATGTGTAGTGGTTCTTTCAGAAGCTCTTGTAAAGCAGGCCTGGTGGTGGTGAAATCTCTGAGTTCTTGCTTGTTCACAAAAGATTTTATTTTTCCTTCACTTACGAAGCTTACTTTGGCTGGATGTAAAATTCTGGGTTGAAAGTTCTTTTCTTTAAGGATGTTGAATATTGGCCCCCGCTCTCTTCTGGCTTGTAGGGTTTCTGCTGAGAGATCTGCTGTGAGTCTGATAGGCTTCCCTTTATGGGTAATCTGACCTTTCTCTCTGGCTGCCCTCAGTATTTTCTCCTTCATTTCAACCCTGGCGAATCTGGCGATTATGTGCCTTGGGGCTGGTCTTCTTGAGGAATATCTTTGTGGTGTTCTCTGTATTACCTGGAGTTGAATATTGTCCTGCCTTGTTAGGTTGGGAAAGTTTTCCTGAATAATATCCTGAAGCATATTTTCCAGCTTGGATTGATTCTCTTCGTCACATTCAGGTACACCTATCAAGCGTAGATTAGGTCTTTTCACATGGTCCCATATTTCTTGGAGACTTTGCTCGTTCCTTTTTATCCTTTTTTCTCTAATCTTGTCTTCTCGTTTTATTTCATTAAGTTGGTCTTCGACTTCTGATATCTTTTCTTCTGCTTGATGGATTCGGTTGTTAAAACTTGTGCATACTTCGCGAAGTTCTCGTGTTGTCTTTTTCAGCTCCATTAATTCACTTATATTCCTCTCTAAATTGTGTATTCTTGTTAACATTTCGTCAAACCTTTTTTCAAAGTTCTTAGTTTCTTTGCATGCTGGTGTTTTCTTTAGGTGGGCCTAAGGAATTCTCTTGGGGTGGCAAACCTCTGCTGTGTTGATTTGAGTCAGGATGCACCTGGGGTTCATCCCAGGACTGTTTTGATTGTTTCTTGTGATATAACTCACTCAGAGCATGAATGAACTTCCTATCCAATTAATTCATGGAAACTTTTGAGATGCAGGAATCTCCACTGCTCACCACACCCTGATGCAACTCTCCAGTCATTGCCACCATTTTCTTTAATGGTCTTTTGTTCAAAATTGCTCTTTTGGTACAAACTTCTAACTTGGAAATAATCTGGTTTATCAGAACAAAAACTCACTCAAAGTAAAGGCTTTCTGTGTAAAGTAGATTTTCATGTAGCACAACTACAGGGAGTTAAAAGTGGCTGGGCTGCCACTACTCTCTCCCATCTCTCTGGAGTCACAGGATGATCTCCTCTTTGCCTGTCTGCTCCCTGAAACCTCATACTGGCATCCTCTATAAAACACTTGACTCTGTAAAGCATGCAGTTCTGTTCCCCCATAGTCAGGGTCGAGCCTCAGCTGTGGCCTTGGTGTCCATGGCTCTGACCCTGGCCCCAACTCCAAGTGACCCACTGCTTCATTGCCCAACACCATTCTGATGACTGTGGAATCTGCCTGTCTGTTCAGATTTTTTTTTCTTTTTCTTTTTTTTTTTTGAGACGGAGTCTCCCTGTCACCCAGACTGGAGCGCAGTGGCATGATCTCTGCTCACTGCAACCTCTGCCTCCCTGGTTCAAGCAATTATCCTGCCTTAGCCTCTGAATAGCTGTTACTACAGGCGTGTGTCACTACTCCTGGCTAATTTTTTTTTTTTTTTTTTTTTTTGTATTTTTAGTAGAGACGGGGTTTCACCACATTGGCCAGGCTGGTCTCCAACTTCTGACCTCAGGTGATCCACCCGCCTCAGCCTCTCAAAGTGCTGGGATTACAAGCATGAGCCACTAAGCTCGGTGTCTGTTCAGATTTTCTAATGTGAAAAAGTTCATTTGGCTCAGGAGTGGTCAAATATCCAGTCCTGCTCCAATTATCTAAGGCCTGCATGGAGAGAGAGAGTGGAGGTGTTACATACTGCCCAGGTCCGCCAGACACTTAAGATAGGGAGCTAGAGACACACACACAAATAAAACTACAGTAATTCTGGAGTGTTGACTACTAATCCTCTGAAATACAAAGGGAGTCATTAAAGCATGTCTCTCTCTGCCCATCATCTACATCCTCCCCCCACAGCCCCACCTCCCCCACATTGCTCAATCTTCCCACTTATTCCCTTCCCCCCTCACTTCACTCAATCTCCCTCCCACCTCTCCCCTCTCTCCCTGAAGATTGATTTCCCATTGAGGTATATTTCTGTTCTATTTTACATTTCTCAATTTACTGAGGCTTTTGCAGCCAGATTAGCCTCCCACAGAGGAAGCAATTTTCCCTCCGTCAAAAATTCACAGCTTTACACCACGGGTAGTCCCAGTCCCAGGGCCTGAGATATACTGGAGGTCTTCTCTGCTGATGGGGTTCAGAGTCTCTCCTGTCTCTTGGGGGCTCTTGAGGGTCTATTCCCTGGGTCCCCACATCAGACCACAGGCTAGCATCAGAGGACCCCCAATTGGAAGGCATCTGGGTTGGAACCGGTACTATGACCATTGCTGGTGGAGGGGGTATAGTGGGTATGGCTTAAAAAGCAGACAAAGGGCATGCGTATGAGTATGTGAATGAGGCAGGGAGCTGGACAGGAATAGGCTCCAGTGAGGCTGTGGACCCAGGCCCAGAGAAATAAGACACGGCTGTTTGTACTGACCTGAGATCTTCCTCCTCCTTCCCCAAAGGTGTAATTTGTCTGCTCCACAGCTCCAAGAGGCTACCTGAAGCCTCCTCCCAGTCCCTGCAAGGCCTCTGCCAGGGCAGGCCCCGCCTCTGCATACCTCTCCTCTCCTTCTCTAGCAGCACCGGCAGTAGCCACCTCTTTTTCCTGTTCATCTGCTCCTTCTGTCCAAGCCCCTCCAGCAGTGGCCAGGCCTGGAAACACAATAGCCTGGCTCTGACCCTGGGGAGATGACAGCTCCTGCAGAGAAATGGACGGAGCTGAGACACGTTTTGGGGACAGGGCAGGGGTCCGGGTGGGTTGGGGCAGGGCAGGGGCACTGGGCAAGGACCATTCAGGGGAACTTACGGCATGGAAGAGCTTCCATCTCAGCATGTCCCGCTCTCTCTGCACCTCCACAAGGCTGGTCTGGGTCAGCTGCAACTGGAAGGTCGCCTCATTGCATTCCATCTCCTGCTTTTCCTTGAGTTCCGTCAGGTTTGAGGCCAAGACCAGCGCAGCTGATCTGTGCAGTTTGGCTAAGTTTTGCAGCCACTGCACCCTGTGGTTTTGTAATTCTGCCTGCCTGTGGGCAAAGCGCATGCCCAAGGCCAGGCTGCCCCAGGTGCAAGCCTCTTTAACCTCGCTGGGCACCTCGCTGTTCTCCAGGATAGTCCTGAGCTTGTCTTCCACCTCCTCCCAGGATAAGGATATATTCTCGAGATAGAACTCGGGGCCTTTTGTGTGTCTGGCCATCTTCTCGTTGATGAATGCCACCACATTGCTGTGCCGGAACCCACTACTGGGGTCCTCAGGTCTCAGGGCCATGGTCGCCTAGGGGCTTAATGGTTTCGCTAGCCCTGTGTGGATGGAGCAACCAATAGGTTCTTTCCCTCTCCCTTACCCCTCCCCTATTCAGTCTTCTCCCACCTTATTCCTGCCCCCACCACCACCCCCGCCCTCCGCCCCCTGCACAAGACCCTCCTAATGGCTCTCTGACCGGCTTGTCCTGCCCTAGGATACCTCCCACCAAGCCTCACCTCTTCAGCCAGGGGCCAGAGGACGTACTGGCCAACCTAGCTGCCTAACACACCTGAAAAGAGAAGGGGGCCTTTCTCCCTCCTAGGGCTGTGCAGAAAGAAAGCCTCAGGGCCAGCCTTTGAGGCACTTACTCTGGGACTGTTCCAATTTCCAGAGACTCTAGGGGTGAAAGGGAGTGAGTGAGGAAGGCCTCTACCATTCCATTGGGATGTAAGGAAACCCACCACATTGTTGGGAGCCCTTGAAGGGTGAAAGAAACAGGAGTGGTCCGGAAAGACTTAGAACAAAAAAAAAAAAAATGAAGTATTTGTGAACAAGTTGAAGTCTCATCCCTCCCCACCATAATGGTTTATCCCATGGTGGGGCGAGGGAGGGGAGTTTCGCCCCCCACCTGGAATATTTCCGAACAGGAAACGGCCCCAACCCCTCAGTTGCCCTCGGAGGAAGAGGATGGAGCTAGGGGAAGAGCTTATCCCCTATTCTCTCAGGACACCACAGACACCCTAACAAATCCTGGCCCTGCCTTCGTCCCCCAACTCCTCTTTCCCCACCTTCTTCCCATCCCCGCTTCTCCCACTCCTCTCCGACTGAAACGTTTTGAATTATCCATCCCCCATCATTCCTTTCCTCGACTACAGCGTTTGACATCCGATCAGCCTCTTGTCCTACCCTGTCATCAGAGGGATATATGAATATTTCTCTTAAAACCTTCAGTCAGGCGCAGTGGCTCACGCCTGTAATCCCAGCACTTGGGGAAACTGAGGCGGGCAGATCACGAGGTCAGGAGATCAAGACCATCCTGGCTAACATGGTGAAAACCCATCTCTACTAAAAATAGAAAAAATTAGCTGGGTGTGGTAGCATACGCCTGTAGTCCCAGCTATTCGGGAGGGTGAGACAGGAGAATCACATGAACCCAGGCGGCAGAGGTTGCAGTGATCTGAGATTGCGCCACTGCACTCCAGCCTGGACGATACAGCAAGACTCCGTCTCAAAAAAAAAAAAAAAAACAAAAACAAAAGCACACTGTAATCCCAGCACTTTGGGAGGCCAAGGCGGGCAGATTACTAGGTCAAGAGCTGGAGACCATCCTGGTTAACATGGCGAAACCCCGTCTCTACTAAAAATACAGAAATTAGCTGGGCATGGTGGCACGTGCCTGTAGTCCCAGCTACTCGGGAGGCTAAGGCAGGAGAATTGCTTGAACCTGGGAGGCAGAGGTTTCGGTGAGCCGAGATTGCGCAACTGCCCTCCATCCTGGTGACGGAGCAAGACTGTCTCAAAAAAAACGCACACACACACACAAAACCTTTAATGACTTTCTGAGACCCACAAGACAAACCAGACAAATCTCAGGTTGAGTCCAACTTTCCTACTTATTATATGGCATTGTACTATAGCTGAATCTGTTTCTACCTATGGGTCTCTGATGACAACCAATGACAAAAGGGTATGTAAAGTTGAAAGAGTAATGTTTTCCACCATCCCATGTTTGTAATATGTAGAAATCGTGTGTGTGTGTGTGTGTGTGTTGTGTATGTTTGCATATGTTTGCATTTTTCTATAATCTTGGAGAACAGAATGAGGGATATAGAGCAGACTCTTAACATTAGTTATCACTGGGAAGTGGAGGTCAGAAAAAAGTTTTTACCTTTTTAAAATACATTTCTCCCTAATTTCGCTTCTTATAAAGAGCATATAACTATATGTATGCATACATTACAAATCTGGAAAGCTATGTACCAGCACTCTAACAGTGGTTATCTTTGGGTAATAGGAATACAGTACTTTAAAAACTACTCTTGGCTGGCCGCTGAGGCTTACGCCTGTAATCCCAGCGCTTTGGGAGGCCGAGGTGGGTGGATCACCTGAGGTGGAGAATTCGAGACCAGCCTTACTAACATGGAGAAAGCCCGTCTCTACTAAAAATACAAAAATTGGCCGGGCGTGGTGGCGCATGCCTGTAATCCCAGCTACTCGGGAGGCTGAGGCAGGAGAATCGCTTGAACCCAGGAGGCGGAAGTTGCCGTGAGCCGAGATCGCACCATTGCATTCCAGCCTGGGCAACAATAGTGAGACTCCATCTCAAAAATAAATAAATAAATAATATTATTTATATTTTTCTCTATTGTAAAATTGTTTATAATAAACATGTATTACGTTTTTCAAAACTGAAAATAATTTCTTCCAGTAACAGCTGATCATTGTAAATAATTTTTAAGTACTTGGAAAGTACTTCTAAATCCTACCCTTCTTTCAACATGACTGATAACCCCTGTTAATCGTTCATTATATAGTCTTTTAAGATAGGCCATAGCAAGTCATTTTTAGTTTTTTAAACGAAGCCTCTCTGTCTTCCCTCCTGGCCCTTGCACAGGCTGCTCTGTGCATGCACGGATTGCCCCTCATCCCGTCCTGCTCTTTTTTACTCCCATTCTCTTCATTCACCTCCTATACAAGTTCTATTCCCCTTTCATGATAGTGCTCAGACAAGAACTCTTGTATTTCCTGATTCCCCAGAACCCACCTCAAGCTAGGCTGAATTTTACAACCTTTCTGTGTCCCCATAATAACTTGTGCAAATGTCTGGCAGTATTTTTCACACTGTATTGTAATCTGTGATTTTCTCATTTTTCTCCATCAACTGGGCATTTCTTGAGGGTGTGTCTTAATTATCTTTGTGTTTTCAGCATCTAGAACAGTGGTAAGCACCCAATATATATTAATTATTGAATGAATTGAAATAATTTATTACATCAGCAAGGTGCCAACAAATACCTTTAAAGTTATCCCTATTTTCTTTATTTTTTTCTGAAATGTCTTTTTTCTCCACACAGACTGATTTTCTGTCACCTCACAGCTTCTTGTGGTAGGGACCTCTCCTCAGTATTTGAAACCAACCATTATCTGACAGATTTAGAATTTGTAAAAAATACCCTTGAAGATTCAGGAATGAAGCTTCTGTGTGAAGGATTAAAACATCCCAACTGTGTATTACAGACATTGAGGTAATTGGTAGCAGGATAATTTGTTATTTGATACTCTTATTTTGGGGGTCAGTTTCTATTTTTGTCGGGGGAGAGCATGAACGTGGTAATGAGGTCATTCTTCCGTTCTCTAAAGGTTGTACCGGTGCCTTATCTCTTCTGCTTCTTGTGGGGCTCTAGCAGCTGTTCTTAGCACCAATAAGTGGCTCACTGAGCTGGAATTCAGTGAGACAAAACTGGAAGCTTCAGCTTTGAAGTTGCTCTGTGAAGGCTTAAAACATCCAAATTGCAAATTACAGAAGCTCAAGTAAGTTCTGCTAGTTTTCATTCTGCAAGAATATTTGAAAAATATGCAACTCAAGACAGATGTCTTAGGATCAAAACACATTTGAAGGAGTCATGAAGAGGAGGAATAAAGGTGGCATTTCCTAAAATTTCTGTGTCATAAGTTTAGGAAGATTATTTTCATTTTAAGTGGAAACATTATCAATAACAATAATAATAACTCACACTCTGCAATTACTGTGTACTAAGCATTGTGCTGAGTATGCACAGATTCCGTTAATCTGCACAACAGCTGTGAAAAGTCCAGATGAGGAAATGGAGGAGGAAATTTAGTCATTAAGCTGAAAGAAATATGACAGAAGTCCAATTCAAAACCCAGATGTGTCTGACTTCAAGTCCATGATAATCACATTAATAAAAAAAAGTGTCATGTTAGTCAATGTTCTCCAGAGAAACAGAACTTGTGTGTGTGTGTGTGTGTGCGTGTGTGCGCACGCGCATGCATACATGCGTGTGTGTTAGTGAGAGAGCCAGAAATAGATTTACTATTAAAAATTGGCTTACGCAGTTATGGAGACTAGCAAGCCCAAGATCTGAAGGATAGGCCAGCAGGCTAGAGAAGGAAAAGCGCCAGTTTTGTGGTTCGAGCCTGAAGGTTGTCTGGTGGTAGAACTCCCTTTTCTGAGGAAGTCAGTCTTTTTCTATTAAGGCTTTCAACTTACTGGATGAAGCCAAATCATATTATGGAGGATAATCCACTCAAAATGTGCTGATTAAAAATGTTAATCTCATCTAAAAAGTACTTTCACAGAAGCATCTAGAATAATACTTGACAAAATAGCTAGGTACCGTGGCCTAGCCAAGTTGACATAAAATTAGCCATCACAATATATATGTGGGATTTTTTTAACGCAAAAACTCTTTAGCATTCAAGTGTTCTGAAATCCACACTGAAAACTCATTTTATGCGAAGTACCTCTATTTAAAATTTCTAAATTGGGGAGATATAAATGCATCTCTTTATGAGCTCTCTTTAAGGCTGAGTTTATAGTCTTTAGAAAAAATGGAAAGATTCGGCCAGGCACGGTAGCGCACGCATGTAATCCCAACACTTTGGGAGGCCGAGTCGGGCGGATCACTAGGTCAGGAGATTGAGACCATCCTGGCCAACATGGTGAAACCCGGTGTCTACTAAAAATACAAAAATTAGCTGGGCATGGTGGCTACTGTAGTCTCAGCTACTCAGGAGGCTGAGGCAAGAGAATCGCTTGAACCCAGGAGGTGGAGGTTGCAGTGAGCTGAGATCACGCCACTGCACTCCAGCCTGAGTGACAGAGTAAAAAAAAAAAAAAAAAGAAAGAAAGAAAGAAAATTGACAGATTTAAAGGCTGTAGGGTATATCTAGAAATTCTTGAACGTGATAGGAGAAAAAGTTAATGGAAAATAGTTCAAGAAATCGTACTACTTCATATGGAGAAACAAAGATTAAGAAGACAGGGACCTCAGTAAGAACCACTCTGTGACAAAGAAAGAATATTATGGGCTGGGTCTCTCTAAGGATGGGAAATTAGTAATGATATTTAGATAAGAGGAAAAGAAGGACCTTTTTATTGTGTGTGTGATGGGGTCTCACTGGAGTGCAGTGGTGTGATCTTAGCTCACTGCAACCTCTGCCTTCTGGGCTCAATCTGTCTTCCCACCTCAGCTTCCTGAGTAGTCGGGACCATAGGCATGTGCCACAAAGCCTAGCTAGTTTTTGTTTGTTTGTTTGTTTTGTATTTTTCGTAGAGATGGACTTTTGACATGTTCCCCAGGATGCCTTCAAACTCATGGGCTCAAACAGCCCACCCACCTCAGCCTCCTGAAGTTCTGGGATTATAGGTGTGAACCACAAGAAAGACCTTTTGCCTATAAAATTTATGATTATAGGATTCGTCCCCTGGGATTTGAAAGGAGATATGCGATAAAGTGTTAAAATCATACAGGGATTTAAAATGAGATTAAATTATCTTACTATTTCCTCCAAACCCTTTGGAAATTATTTTGAAATTAATTGTTTTGAAATTATTGACCATGTCCTTGCCATGGGGATAGGGGGCTGTGACATGCTCAAGACTGGGCGTCTTGTACCTGTGGGTCTTGATTTTCTGTGTTCATGCAATGTTGTTAATAGGGAGTGAATAGTATACTAAGTGGTCAATTCTGTCTTTGTATACCCTTCCCTTCAGGTTATGTGCTAGCCTTCTCCCAGAAGGCTCAGAAATTGTTTGCAAGTATCTTGCTGCTGTTCTTATTTGCAACCCACACCTCACTGAACTGGACCTGAGTGAAAACCCCTTGGGGGACGTAGGGGTGAAGTATCTTTGTGTGGGTCTTAGACATTCCAACTGCAAAGTGGAGAAACTAGAGTAAGTTTCTTCGAACTTATCTGGTGTCGTCTAATGACTGTTGAACTTGTTACGTGCCTGCTATGTGCTTGGTGCTTGCCAGAAGTTATCTCACTTGAATTCCTCCTTACAGTAACCATGTAAGGTGGATTTTTAAAATCCTCATTGTACAGATGAAGAAACTGGGGTTCAGGGAGCAAAATGACTGTTCCACAGTCACACTACTAATAAGTCAGGATGTGACTCCAAAATCTGTCTCCAAATCTCATGGTCTTTCTAGTATACCACAGCTGTGTACGTTTACAGGAATGATATTAGTTAAATGTTAACTATATAAAGGTTACTTACTATGTAGTGAACACTGGGCTAGATGTGGGTAGAGTTATCAGAAGTTCTGCAAATGACAAATCTGTCCTTAGGACACAGATATATGTCAAATACCACAAAATCATTTGAAATGCTAGATGAGCCCAGGGGAGAGGAGGAGATCACTGTGAGCTAGACACCTCAGTAGGAGGTTCTGAGAGGGAAGTAGGACAGGGGCTGGAACTTAAAGGATGGCGAGGACTTAGCTAAGTGGGCAGATGGGCAGAACATTTCTAGGAAGCCAAAATGATGGCAGAGGCTGATTTTTCTTTTTTTCTTCGCTGGATAGCTTGAGCACATGTCACCTTACAGATGCTAGCTGTGTGGAGCTCGCTTCTTTCTTGCAAGTGAGTCAGACATTAAAAGAGCTGTTCATGTTTGCCAATGTCCTGGGGGACACAGGAGTACAGCATCTCTGCAAAGGTCTGCAGCACACAAAGGGTGTAATCGAGAATCTTGTGTAAGTATCTGCTTGTCCTTGTCCTTCTCATGGGCCTTGGCATTTGAGGGTCAGTGGGACACACTGCTGCCATAGATAACAGCCACCTTGTCATCCTCATCCCTCTAGGCTTTCTGAATGTTCCCTGTCTGCAGCTTGTTGTAAACCCCTTGCCCAAGTCCTGAGCTCCACCCGGAGCCTGACAAGGCTGCTTCTAATTAATAATAAAATTGAAGATATGGGACTGAAATTGCTGTGTGAAGGATTAAAACAGCCTGACTGTCAGTTAAAAGATCTGGCGTAAGTATCATGGACCATAGCCATGGGCAAAGTTTCCTGATGTTTCAGCAACTCCCAAAATTAAATGAGTATTTTTTGGCCTGGTGAATAAATCTCCAAGGAAGCAGTAAAGGAAGAACTGAATAAATTACGGGGAATAAATCATTCTTTCTCCACAGTTTCTCCCTGGCCTTGGCCCAAGGGATTATTTTTGCATGACACTGATTTCTTCTGTTTTTTTTTTTTTTTTTTCTGTTGGGCAAACACAATTCTTAAAGTGACCCAGTGCAGATGCAATGATGCCAGCCTTCTCTACGTTACTTCCTGGTAGGTTGTGGACCTGTCACCTGACCGGGGCATGTTGTCAGGATTTGTGCAATGTACTCTACACCAACGAACACCTGAGAGACCTTGACCTCAGTGACAATGCCTTAGGGGACGAGGGCATGCAGGTTCTGTGTGAAGGGCTGAAACGCCCCTGTTGTAAACTACAGACTTTGTGGTATGTGCACAGGGACTCTGTCTACTGGGCCTCTTTTTTAGATTGTATATGAAAGGGAGGGACACTGGGAACTTGGGATAATACCGATTACTTTCTTGAATCTTCAATCACTCACAGGTTAGCGGGATGTCATCTCACAGATGCATGCTGTGGAGCCCTCGCCTCTGTCCTCAACAGAAATGAGAACCTAACATTGCTAGACTTAAGTGGAAATGACCTCAAGGATTTTGGAGTGCAGGTGCTATGTGATGCGCTGATTCATCCAATATGTAAACTTCAGACATTCTAGTAAGTCACTGCAGTGAGGAAGTGGGAGGGAAGGGGTCAAGACAGGCATATTGGGTTTGGTCATAGCCCATTGCAGTGAGCAAAGAGAAGAAAAACTGAGGGCAAGCTAAGCCTACTTTACCTTACTAGTAAAGTAAGTGAAATTACCAATAGGCCTGCCCTCTCTGAACATGAGCAGGGAGAGGGAGAGGACAGTCTTCTCTGTTATCAACTTGCTAAAGGAAGTAACATGGTGTAAGAAAAAGAGCATAGGATTTAAGGTTTGCTAGGTTTGGCTTAAATCCTAGGTCTAGCATCTACTAGCTCTATGACCATGCTTACTTAATGTCAGTATCCTGGTCTATAAAATTGTGACAGTGCTAGTACCTGACTACCTGGGGTTAACATGGTGACTGAACTGAGACTGCAATTATGAATGTACCTAGAACAACTCCTTGGCACATAAGAGGTACTCTGTAAATGTTACCCTCTTTCTGTTTCCACTTCTGCTAGAGGGTTTGATGCATACATTTTGAGAGTCTTCCAACACTCAAGGGATGAAGCTATAATGGCACAATTACAGAGGGTGGAGGTCTTGGCCCTCTCTGGCCAGTATCTGTCTGTCAGCTCAGCAGGCTGGCATGATACACAAAGTAATTCTTAATTAAAATACAACAGTGCTCTGTTGGCAGCTGACCGGTGACCAAATGGCCATTCGTTTCTGGCATTCAGAACTGGAACACATAATGGAAAGTAAAGGCCGAGTGCAAAAATTCCACGTTCCAAAGCCAATTTGATGGATAAATGAGAACAGCATAAAAGCCTGATTACGAGTCTGGCTAAAACAGAAGCTGGTTCTCTACTAGCCAAGTGAAGTCTGTTAGTTTTAAAGACCCAAGAGTGTGGTGATTACTGCCTAAGCAAAGGGAATTATTTACAACATGATAAGCCTCAGGGCTTAGGAATCTCTGTGGTGTCTTTCTCAGAAAGAAGTGGATGCAATCTTTATTATCAATAGGTTGAAATAAACTCGACAATCAACCTTAATGTTTCTTTAAATGTAGAGTAACTTAATGTGGTAGCATTCCACAGTGTAGATGCTACAATAAAGGTCCTAAGTAGCAGCAAGGAGAAATCATTTAGTCGCTGACAGCATGACATTATTTTTTATTGTAGGTTGTTGTGCCATTTTCTATTTTTTCTCACACTTTGTCTTTTATCCAATATACTTCCACTGTGTTTTCAGTCCAGCCTTCAAATCCTTATAAGTTGTCAATCCAGTTGATAGCAGTGTGCAATAATGGCTCTGAATACAAAATAAAGGACACACACATACAAAGTAGACAAAATTTGCTGACCCCCAAATAAATTTTAAATGTTAGAATGTATATCAGACAAAACTGAAGTCAATATAAACATATGTTTACCCAAGTAAGGTGAGTAGAAGATATGGATCATTTAGTGTGGTGAGCTGGACATCAGTAAATCAAGAAGAGCTTCCTGGAAGGGGTAGTCAGATTTGGTTGGAGGAAGGTAATTTTCTATCTTGTATTTATTTATTTATTTATTTAAAGACTAGTCAATTGCAGTAGTGAGGAGGGAAAGAGTAGAACAAGGAGTTCGATCTGTAACTAACTGAACAGTCAGTTGAGGTACCTCACTACCGGAGGAAGATTATTTTCTAAGAGCTGCTTGAGTGCAGAGTCTGAATCCTATTCCTCATCGTATTTTCCTGTGTAAACTTCCTGGTGCAGCGCTTTGCATATAGTAAATACATGAGTACATATAGGAGATCAGTTGGTAATTTGGAGCATCTGGGAGCAAGGCAAGGAGACACTTAATGATATGCTTAAAAAAAAAAACAACAGGTGTTTTGGCCAGGCAGGTTGGCTCATGTCTGTAATCCCAGCACCTTGGGAAGCCAAGGCAGGTGGATCACCTGAGGCCAGGAGTTTGAGACCAGCCTGGCCAACATGGCAAGACCCCGCCTCTACTAAAAATTCAAAAACATTAGCCAGGCGTAGAGGCCTGTTCCTGTAATCCCAGCTACTCAGGACGCTGAAGCAGGAGAATCACTTGAACCCGGGAGGCGAAGGTTGCAGTGAGCCAAATTCTTGCCATTGTACTCCAGCCTGGGCAACAAAGTGGGAGTCTGTACCCCCCCCTTAAAAAAATACCAGTGTTTTGACATTCAGAAGGTCAAGCGAAGAGGTAGCCACAGAGGGAAAAAAGCTAATCTTTATTCATTCCACAATCGCTTGCTCAATACCTCTTATGTACCAGACAAATGTGCCAGGTGCTGGGGGAGACAAGAATAAATAAGATAAGAGATATGACCAGTGCTCTTCAGGGGCCAGTGGGCCTAGTAGTAGAGACAGGCACATAAACTTATTAATGCAATGACATAGTCATGAGCTATTAAAAGAGCCATGGCAAAATACAGCTAACCTAGCCCAAGAGGATCAGGGAAAGCTTCTTGGAGGAAGAGCCACCTGAGTTGAGTCTTAGGACGGTAGCTAGGGGCAACAGGGGTAAAAGTGGAAAAGGGTAGTCCATACTTAGGAGATAGCGTGAGCACAAGTACCCAGACAATAAATAGCATGGTTTATGGTACTTGATAGGGATAAAGATGGGGAATCTCTAAAGTTTGGTATTGCTGGAGCATAAAGTGCAAAGCAGAGTGTGTCACTAAATGAGACTGGGGAGTCAATCAGGACCTTGTATACCATGTGTGATGAGTAAGACCTGTTAGCAGAATTCTCAGTGCAAGTTCAGTCATACATGCTCTAGTAGTAGTATGTTTTGAGGCAACTCCTGACCCCAACTTTCTAAAACAGGCCCCATCTTTGGGGCCAGTTCTGCTTTCAAAGGTAGATGAAGAAGCATTCTACTCTTGCTTCTATTTCTCACTGCTACTTGGGTTGATATTGAGAACTGACCCTTCACAGTCCAACAGAAGCTTGGCGACTGGATAGTGATGCTCTGGCTGGTCAAGCATCCCTGCCAGCCTTGCCTGCAGTGGCATTACACTTGGGCTCCCAAGTTACAGTTATCTTAGTATTCACCCAAATGTGCAGCTGTTGTTCTACGAAGTACCGCATATATCAGGGTGACTAGGTCTAGAGAAGTTCCTTTCATCAGCTGCAGTTACATGTGTGGTGAAGCCTGGCCTTGCCCATAAAGATGTAGGCCCTTGATTTTAGCCAGGGATACCACTTAGGTTTTCTTCTTTCTTCAAGGTAATTTTATTTCAGAGTCTTGGTGCCTTCCTAGGCATTGGACCTTGAATCAAACGCTGTTCCTCATCCTCATACATATTCTTAATTCTAAATTTGGAAAGAAGAGGTTGTGGGTAACTGGTCTCTTAACTCCCAGAAACCCTCTGGGCTTCCTAAGCAAACTGACCCACTTTTTCCCCAGCAGTGAGCTCTACTTATCAGGAACCAAGACAGCTTCCTGATAAGTCACTCAAAAAAATTTAAAGGTCTTGTTACACTTCTATGGCATTAATTGTCCACTTTCCCTACAATTACATAATTAACAGGGTTGCTCATTTCATTTTGCTAGATAAAGATTAGCTTCTATCCATTAAAAACTAAAATGATACCTTTCTACATACTTGAAAGAGCTTGTACTTTTTTCTGTAGTCAACGGGTTTTAATTCCGGTTACACATACTGAGTTTGAAGGGCCTGGCAGGGTGGGAGGCAGATGCTGAGCAAGTTTTCTAGTAGATAGGTGGTTGGATGTAGGAGTGTGGCCTGGGAAGTAATCATCCACAAAGAGGTGATAGCTGGATCTATGACAGTGCATGAGCTCTACTAGGAAATGTGAGAAGAAGAAAACCTCTCAGGAATGTCTCTGGGGAATAAGCCCTGGATGATACCATTTTCAAAGGGATTGATATGGAAAGGAAAACCCATTAAGAGAACCAGGAGAGAATGGTATCCTGAAAAAGCTAAGGGAAAAGTGAATTTCAAGAAGTGCTCGACAGTATCAAATGCAGCAAGAGATCCAGTAGGAGGAGCACTGTGAAGTGTCCAGTGGATTTAGCAATTAGCAGGTCATAAACAATCTTGTCAAGGGCTGTTTCAATAGTGTGGTAGGGCTGGAAACCATATTGCAGTGACTTGAAGAGATAGATGATAAGCAAGTGGAGAAAGAAAGCAGAGATTACTTTTTAAAGAAGTTTATGAAAAGGAGAATAGATTTGGGGTTGTAGCTAGAGGAAATTGTGGGAGGGGAAAAAGTAGGGATTTTTATTTCCTTTTTGCCTTGTTTTGAGACAGGCAAATTTGTAGGCCTAGAGGAAGGAACCCATAGAGAGGAAGAAGTTGTAGCTACAGGAGTAAGAACTAATGGACTAATGGAGCAGGGCCTTGGACAAGGCAGGGCAGGACAGGAGTGATATTTTAAGAGAAAGCGTTAAGCATTTTATCTTTTGAGACTCAGGGAAAGGTGCTAAGGCTGGAGGAGGGGTTAGATAACTGAGTGGATGAAGTAAGTAACTCAGTGGTGCCATGGAGCAAGTGTGAATTGGAATCTGATCCATGAGAATAGGAAAGCTACTGCAGACATCTCTCGGCTTGACAAGTTAAAAGTCTTAATGCAAGATTTTTTCCCTTTTTCACAGCATTGACACAGATCATTTACATGAAGATACATTTAGAAAGATGGAAGTTTTAAAAATGAGCAAGCCTGGAATCATCTGGTAGTTTTCAAGGAGAGCTCCTGAATTGACTGCATATAGACCCCTCCATCTGACACCATCTTTAAAAGTTGTGCAGTACAGTATTATTTTTCCAAACTGTTAACCTTTGCTGAGGAGGCTAGTGTGATACAAGCAGCAGTGATTGCTGTTTCTTACATACAACTATCCATTCAGCAGGATGTAAAAGGCAGAAGCAGCTTAGTTTAAATGTCTTCAGTATAATACCTTACATTCATATGTTTATGTTACAGTGTTTACTGTGCTTTTACAAGAACCGTCAGAGGTGGGACGATGAGGCTCTGAGAGGTTGTAACTAGCTCCAGGTCATAGAGCTCATTAGAGGGAGAGTCGAAACTGCAATTCAGGCAGGTGTCTCTCAAAACCCAGACCATGCAGGGAAACAATAGAAAAAACATACATGAATGAGTCCACTTAAAGAGTCAAGATACTTGAAATGATTAAAGTAACAAGAGTATGCAAACACATGTTATATCTTATGGTGCTGATTTCAAATAAACATCTAATTCATGAAGGAAGAATGAGCTGGACTAATTGGGAAGGGCTTCATGGAAAAAGAGACTCGATGTGGGCCTTGAAGAGTGAGTATGATTGAGATAGGTGAGAATGCAGTGGCCAGTGGCTTTAGGACTGCAGGGCAACAGGGCCCTGTTTTTGAGCAGCTCACCAAAAGAGCCTAGGGAGAAAGAAATGTTTGCCCTAAAATTTCTTGAGCTCCCACAGTATCTGTAATCCTAGGCTTCTGAGGGTGCTTTCCAGTTCCCAGTCTCATCCCCCTTTCTGAACTTTTAATACTTTCCGAATGTATTTGTATTTGTTCATGGCCTTCTGAGACTGACTCGGTCTTGATCTCTGATAGCATCTTACGTAGCCAAGCATGGATCCTATACAACCCCCTGTTTGTCTCTCTGCCTAGCTTTCACAAAACACTACATGAGGCAGTGGAGAAAGGGAGTGTCAGGCAATGAAACAGTGCAAAGTCAGCGAATAGTGAACATGATGTGGGATCAACAGAAAGTAGGCTGGGCTTATTAAAGTGTAAAGATGTCTCCAGAAGCTATAACTAACTGTGTGACCCTGAATATGTCACTTGGATTCCTGAAACCTTAGTTTCCTTATCTTTGAAATGAGGATAAATTGACATTAACCTTGTAGGGCTGTTTCCCAACATGGTACTTCCCTGCAGCAGGCACCAGTTAGTTAGTTGTAGCTCTTTGTGTGTTTACCTGTAGTATACCTCAGCTGTATAATGCAACTCCTAGGTTTTCTTGCAGTGTAATCTATGTGAAGTGTGTGTTTGAACTAAACGTATGTGCCGGACACAATGAACCTAGTGAAGGAAGAGACTCATAGTGGGAAGTTATTCCAGAAGGGAGGTTGTAGTATAGCCCAGCTGCTTCATGGATTTATCCATCATCATGTATTGTTCTCCACTGCCCTGGGAGATAGTAACACTCAAGAAGCATACCAGGTCTATCCTGAGAAGAATGGTCAAGATAGCAGTTTGTCTCCAGTTTTCTGAAATTTTCTTTGCTTTTAGTTACTTAACACATTTATTGCACATTTGTTACATGCCAGATTTTGTGTTAAGTGTTGACTTTGCAGAAATGAATATGCCTTTTCCTGTGCACTTCCTCTACCATGTTCTCTGACTGCCTTAGTCCCTCTGTCAATCTGGAAAACATCTGATAAAACATCTCACTAAGAGCTCAAAGATATAATGTTAAATGAGAAATTGCACAACCGTGTGTGTGCACAATCCAATTTGTGTACAAAAAGATACATATGCATGTGTACATGTGTTCAGAAAATCTATGGAAGGATGTATACAAGAAGCTGCTAACAGTGATTACTATGGCAAGAGGAATTTACCAAGCAGAGGCAGTGGGGAAAAACCTTTTCATCAATAGCCTTCTGTCCTACTTGATGTTTTTTTTTTAACCATGTGCATGTTTAACTTTTATAATTAATAAACATGACGTTAAAATAAAATTCATATTGAGGAGTACTTTTTCTTTCTTTTTAATTTTTGTTATTTTATTTTTCCATAAGTTATTGGGGTACAGGTGGTATTTAGTTACGTGAATAAAGACTTCAGTGGTGATTTGTGAGATTTTGGTGCACCCGTCACCCAAGCAGTATATACTGCACCATATTTGTAGTCTTTTATCCCTCACCCCCCAGTCTCTTCCTCCCAAGTCCCCAAAGTCCAGAGTGTCATTCTTATGCTTTTGTGTCCTCGTAGCTTAGCTTGCACATATCAATGAGAACATACAATGCTTGGTTTTCCATTCCTGAATTACTTCACTTAGAATAATAGTCTCCAGTCTCATCTAGGTCACTGCAAATGCTGTTAATTCATTCCTTTTTATGACTGAGTAGTATTCCATCATATATATATATATGCACATAAACTAGAAAACCTAGAAGATATGGATAAATTCCTGGAAAAATACAACCCTCCTCGTTTAATCAGGAAGAAGTAGATACCCTAAATAGACCAATAACAAGCAGCGAGAATGAAACGGTGATTAAACAATTACCAACAAAAGTAAGTCCAGGACCAGATGGATTCACAGCGGAATTTTACTATCTAATTCCAGACTTCTTGGAGGCTTTGTTCATATTTTCTTTTTTCTTTGTCTTTGTTGGATTGGGTTAATTCAAAGACATTGTCTACGAGCTTTGAGTTTCTTTCTTCTACTTGTTCAGTTCTATTGCTGAGGTTTTCCAGAGCATTTTGCATTTCTAAAAGTGTGTCCAAAGTTTCCTGAATTTTGTTATTGCTTTTTCTTTAAGCTATCTAGTTCCTTGAATATTTCTCCCTTCCCTTCTTGTATCATTTTTTGGACACATTTTGCATCATTCTTCTTACAAGAAGAAGCCAAAGCCCTTGCTTTGGGCTTTGCCTTTCTCTGGTCCCTCCCTGATTAGCTTAATAAGTAACCTCCTGAATTCTTTCTAGAGTAAATCAGGGCTTTATTCTTGGTTTGGATCCATTGCTAATGAACTAGTGTGATTTTTGAGGGGAGTTCATAAGCCTTTTTTTGATCATATTGCCAGGTTGGTTTTCTGGTTCCTTCTCATTTGGGTAAGCTCTGTCAGATGGAAGGTCTAGAGCTAAAGGCTGTTGTTCAGATTTTTTTGTCCCATGGGGTGTTCCCATGATGTAGTGCTCTTCCCCTTTTTCTGTGGATGTGGCTTCCTGTGAGCCAAACTGCAGTGATTGTTGTCTCTTGTCTGGGTCTAGCCACCCAGCAAGTCTACCCGGCTCTGGGATGGTACTGGGGATTATCTGCACAGAGTCCTGTGATGTGAACCATCTGTGGATCTCTCAGCCATGGATGCCAGTTTCTGTTCTGTTGGAGGTGGCAGGGGGTGGAGTGGACTCTGTGAGGGTCCTTAGTTTGGTGGTTTAATGCTCTATTTTTGTGTTGGCTGGCCTCCTGCCAGGAGGTGGCACTTTCCAGAAAGCATCAGCTATAATAGCGTGGAGAGGGACCAGTGGTGGGCCAGGCCCTAGAACTCCCGAGATTCTATGCCCTTTGTCTTCAGCTACCTGGGCAGGTAGGGAAGGACCATCAGGTGTGGGCAGGGCTAGGTGTGTCTGAGCTGAGACTTTCCTTGGGTGGGTCTTGCTGCAGCTGCTATAGGGGGTGAAGATGAGATTACCAAGTCACTGGAGTTGTGTACCTAGGAGGATTATGCCTGCCTCTGCTAAGTCATGCAGGTTGTCAGGGAAGTGAGGAAAAGCCGGCAGTCACAGGCCTCACCCAGCTCCCATGCAAACCTAAGGGCCAGCCTCACTCCCACCATGCTTTCCACAACAGCTCTGAGTATGTTGTCAGGTGGAGGACAAGACAGGTTTGAAAACTTGCCCAAGGCTTTCCGCCTCTCAGGGGTGAAAGAAAAGGACTTTAGTTCGTCCACCGCTTGTAAAGTCTGTAAGCTGGATCCACACCCTCCCTGAGTTCTGGCCAGGAGGCTTCTTGCCCTGTTCAAATTGTTAGAAAGTTCAACTAGAGAATTCCTTCTCCCTGTGGAGTTTTACCATACCCCTGCTCCTCTGGCCACCCTCCTGATGGATCTCTCTGGTGCCCGGCAGGAATTTACTGCTTGGGGACCCAGCGAGCTGCCAGGGCCTTTCTGATGCTTCCTTTACCCCTGTGTTTTGCTCAGCTCAGCTCTCTAACTTGACTTAGCTCCTGATAAAATCAGAAAATTCTCCCGCAAACAGACCTTCAGCTTCTCCAGTGGGGATGTGTGTTCAGGAGAGGAGGGTTTCCCTTTCCAATTTCTGCAGATGGGGCGCTTACAGCATTTGGGGTATTTCCCGGGTTCTGCAGGAGAAGCCTGCTTCCTTCAGAGGGTCTGTGGGTCCTCTCAGGATTTCTGGTTTGTTCTTGAAGTCAATCTGAAGCCAAAATTAAGATGCAATTTTAATTCTTTTAAAACATGATGGTTTGGAAGAAAATACAGGGGCAGGAATTTATAAGCATGACATTAAAAACTCAAAGGAAAAGAATGAAAGATTTGATAATATCAAAGTTTAAAACCTCTTTGTGAAAATTACAAAATATATATAATTAAAAGACTAGTGACAAACTGAAAATACATATTTCACACACATATAAATCATAAGGCTAATATCCATAATGTAAAGAACAACAAATCAGTATGAGAACCATATAACTTGGAGTGTTTCCACTTTCTAGCAATGATGAAGTATCAGTCACTGGATTTAGTATGCCATCTTAACAACTCAAGAAATGAGCAAAATATATGAAACAACAATTTTTGTACATTGGATAACAGGCAGAGTTGGAAAAAATAAAAAACAGTAGATCTAAACAGAATCATATCAATAATCATATTAAAGTTAATGGTCTCACAGCAATCCAGTTAAAGACTGAGGTTGGTAGAATGGCAAAAAAAAAAAAAAATTTAAAGCATACTTTATGCATAAAAACACAAATAGGTTAAACATAAAAGATGTACCATGTTAACATTAATTTTTAAAAGCTAGAATGACTATATAATTATCAGAGAAAGTAGATTGCAAGGCAAAGGATATTATTAAGGTAAAGAGAGCTGTTTCATAATGATAAATTGGCTAATTCATCTTGAAGATATAACAATGCTAACTATACATGTATCTAATAACAGACATTCAAAATACATGAAGCAATAATGGGCTGAACCTAAGGAGAAGTAGACAAATAGACAGTTATAGGCAGAGACTTTGACACCTCTCTCTCACTAATTGTTAGACCAAGAGACAGAAAATCAGTCAGAACATAGAATACTTGAACAACACAAATAACTTGATTTGACTGACATATAATACTCAACCAAACAACAGAAAGCATGCTCTTTTCAAGTGTACACTGAAAATGTACCAAGATAGACCATATCTGGGTCGTATAACAAGTCTCAATAAAGTTAAAGGATTCAAGTCACAAGAAGTATGTCCTCTGACCACATGGAATTAAATTAAAAATAAATAAAAGAAAGATATGGAAATCCCCCAAATAGTTGGAAAATAAATAACACATTTTAAAATAATCCATGGCTCATAAAGGAAGTCTTAAGGGAAATTAGAAAGTATTTTAAACTGAATGAAAATCAATAAGATATATGTATTTGTAGAATATAGGCAATGCAGTGCTGTGAGGGAAATGTACTAAACAGTTATATTTGAAAAGAAAGGCCTTAAATTATTGACTTCAGCTTCCACAATAATAAATCAGAAAAAGTCAAGTGTAATTTAAAGTAAGTAGAAGAAAGAAAATAATAAATAGAAAAATAAATCAATAAAGTAGAAAAACAATAGAAAAAAAATCAATGAAACCAAAGCCTGGTTCTTTGAGAAAATGATACAATTCATAAACCTTTAGCAAGGTTGATTAGGAAAAAGGAAGAGAAGACACAACTTCCCAATATCAGGAATGAGACTGGGCCACCACTACCAATCTTACAGACATTAAAAAGATAATAAGAGTATATTATGAACAGCTTTATACCAAAATTTTGTAAATTAGGTTGAATGGACAAATACCTTGAAGGACGCAAACTACCAAGGGTAACTCAAGCAAAAGTAGAAAACCTAAATAGCTCAATATCTAGAAATTAAATTTTATTTGAAAACCTTCCCACACACACACGCAAACTTTAGACATAAATGTTTTCAGGGGTGAATTCTAGCAAACACCACTTCTACACAAAGAAGAAGAAAAATGCCACTTTTAAACAAAATCTTTCAGAAATTTGAAGTAAATATTTCCTAACATTCTATGAGGTCAACATTCTCCTCCTACCCAAACCAGAAACAGATATTACAAGGAAAGAAAACTATAACCCAATATTTATCATAGAGATAGATGCAAAAAAAACTAAAAATTTTAGCAAATAAAATCCAGCAATATATAAAAAGAATAATGCATTACGACCAATTGAGCTTCATCTTAGAAATGCAAGGGTGATGCAACATTCATAAATTCATATAATTTATCATCTGGACAAACTGAAGAGAAAATATGATTATCTCAATAGATGCGGGAAAAAAAAACATTTGCCAGACTCCAATATTCTTTACTGATTAAAAAAGTAACTAGGAATATTTAGGAAAAAATTTAATCTATAAATAGGCATCTATTTAAGAAAAGACACTACAGCTAAAATCCAGCCTACTGGTGAAACATTGAAGATTTTCTCCTTAAGTTTGGAAACAAGACAGGGATGTCTCCTCTCACTACCTCTGACCAATATTCTACTGGAGGTTCTAGCCATTGCCACAAGGGGAAAAATCTTAAAGATTAGAACGAAGTAAAACTGGTTTTGTTTCCAGATGACTTGTTCTTCTGTGTAGAAAATTCTAAGGAATCTACAAAAACCTGCTAGAACTATTAAGTGGGGTTAACAAGTTTGCAGGATATAAGGTACATATACAACAGTTAATTGTGGTATTTCTGTATAGTAGCAGCAAACC